TATATATATGTATATGTATATACCCTATATAGCCCTATCTAAACCCCCAGTGTTCCATGACTTTTAAAGTTCCACTTCCTTTGCCTTGCAGGGCTACGTGATCCGACTTTGCACAGATTGGGGAAGTGTGCACGGTTTTCTGATGCCAACACCTGCCGGAACCTCCNNCTCCAAACCCGACTTTACCCTCCCAGTCGAGATCACAAATGCAAGAATCAAGATCCGTCATGCCCGAACAAGGAAGCTAAAGAGCATACAGTGGCCCATACTGAAACTGTCAAGTTGGGCACGCCGGATTCTTGAAGACGGAGGACAGATGTTGCTCGGCTGTTTTTGCACTGTTTGAGGGCTGTTGCCTTGTACAGAACCCAAGGTACCTTTACAGGATCCAGTGCTTTCTAGCAAAGTACAAGTTGATTGGTAGCATAGGAAATGCTACTTAACCATCCAGGTTACTACAAGGACACCATATATCTGATGTTCTCCAGTGGCAGCACGACCTGAAGGAGTTTTGGGACCTCTACCAGCAGGTAGACCCAAACCATGCAGTATTTACAGAAAGCCTGGATCGCAAAATCACGCTGCCCTATCTCCTGCATGGAGATGAGGGAAGAGGCCGAACAAAGCTGCCTGTGATGATTCTGTCATTCCAAGGGCTTTTTTCTCACTACGGAAAGCATAAGTTGAACGAAAGTGGGTCACTCGTCCATAATGGTAACATCGAGGTTGCTTAAGGTTTTATATGTCTATGGTAGATATATGTAAGAAGATTTTCAAAATGTTATATAGTTGCAACACCTAATACAATCCAAACAGTAGCTTTATTTGATTTGTTATGAAATGTTTATGCTTGTTAAGGCACAGCTTTTGTTCGCGCCTGCTTTACACGGCGATACCTGCTCGTTGCTACCATGGTGACACAACAATCTTCGACTTGCTACAGCTCTTGGCAGATGATTGTACTTCTCTCTTCTGGAATGGTCTGGATGTGCCTCCGATGTTAGATCTTATATAAGTATGCAGAATTTAATTAGGGTTTTAGTAGGTTTATAAGCTATCCTTAAATGCTTTGCCTAAGGTTGAATATGCCGGTCAGAAACACCACTTCCGTATGGCATGGCTGGGGTGCAAGGGAGATTGGGTGTGGCTCAGAAAAGCTTTCTGTCTTGAGACGGGTTTCTCGAGCACCAGAATCTGCCACATGTGTGAGCAGGAGGTCGGGTGTTGAAGAATGATGTAACTCTGTAGGGTCAAGATGAATGTTCAGACCTACCTAGGGTTATATAGTTTCATATAGGGTTTAGGGCTCATAGGGTTTATGGGTTTAGGGTTTTATGTGGGTATGGCAGGACTGGTACAATTGCTCTTCTGCATCAGCTATCCGTAGTTGGACGAGGGATGATCCAGCTGATGAGCCCTGGAAGAACCAGGTTAGCCCACTGCGAACCATTCCGGGGGCCGAGGACCCGTGGCGACTCCGTACTGACCCGGCTCACACATTTGCTATTCAGGGAATGGGCTCCGGAATGGCTACGTCTGCTATCGTGTTGCTTTCGCGACTCAAGATTTGCCAAGGGCGATCCACTCAGGACAGGCTAAGTGCATTGTACGAGTCCTTTATAGGTTGGTGCAAACGAAATCGCAAATCCACGAGCCTCGACGGGTTTTCTCTGCTGAAATTCAAGATGAAGACGTTCTCCACCTGAGTTGGATGGCAATTTGTGGTGGTTCATTTTGCAATAACAAGGGGTTTGCATGGTATCCAGTACTACAGGATGGAAGGGCTTATAATACTCCATTCTTTAAAGTTTCGGTTGCTGGTGTATCGGAGCTCAGGTTACAATGCTATCCCAAAGGTGCCGGGAAAGGCTCAGATACCGTCTTGCTATGTGAATGGCTGGGGGACCTGCTCAGCGAAGAGGGAGGATGCGCAAGGGTTGATTCTCGATATCGCATAGGATATGTGTGTTGTCTCTACAGAATTATTGGTAGCTAATATAAGTCGTCTAGTTTTGTCTTTTAAAGGATCAGAACCCTAGGGGAGTCTTTAGCTGCTTCATCAACATAGCCCTAGAAGTATNNATGTCTAGCATGACAAATAACTCGATCGGCTAGAGGCTGTCGATGACAGAGAGCTTTACAAGCTCCTCGAGTGGACATTCGTGCATGTCAATGCCTACTTCCGGAGACTATATGCCCATGCGATGTGGATCCCGACTGCAGATGCCGCAAAGATTGTCCACCACGGCTGGTGTATGTGTGCACTTCTGCTACAATCATGTAATACCAATCCTGTAGGTTACCTGGTCCCAACAACCCCCCCCTGAACTTAGGAAGGAGCCGGTGCCCTGGCATTCCACACAGCTCAGCGACAGTGGGCTTTGTTCAAAGTCAAGCCAAAAGTGCACATGATGATGCACCTAGTGTTCCTTGGCTACCTCATTTTCCATTTCTTCTACAAGTCATGTCCATTATGTTAGCCACGTGCAGACATATCAGGCGCGATCTTCATATTCAAGTTGAGAAAGGCAATCGCCTTATCTGGAATACACGCTGATTCTCAGGCTGCTATAGTACCCGGTTGTCGGAC